TCTCTCTCTCTCTCTCTCTCTCTCTCTCTCTCTCTCTCTCTCTCTCTCTCTCTCTCTCTCTCTCTCTCTCTCTCTCTCTTGTAACCGGTACTGACCTGCAAAAGACGGCACCTTGATGCAGGTACGGACCTGCTGAAGACGAAGCTGGAGCGATGGCCACCATCTCTCGCTCCTTGAGCTACTCTACTCTATCAGCGCCCAGCGCTGGAAGACTAGTCCTATTGTCGAGTACTACTGTACTGCCGTCGTCTGAAGTATGCCTCACCTCGATCGCTTCTGAATCCCCTGACTGAGGTCGGACCCAGCTATATATACCGCTGGGTCGGCCTCAACTGCTGAGTCCTGGCGCCCAAACTGAGGCTGGGCCTCAGGCACCTACTGAAATGGCGAGGTCTCAAAATCAGGGTCTGGTGCCAAACGCGCATGAGGGCCTGTATCTGAAACGAGGCCTTTAGGTCGTCTAATTGGTACCTGTCCTACTCGGGCCTAAAACTGGCCTACCGACCCTACGGACCCCTACTGTGGGTCGAAACGACACAGAGCCTACACTCTACGGACTCCTAGCCTACCTGGTTGGGCCCTGCTGGGCCTGTGTGGAACTGAGTATGCCACATTGGCATAACCAGAGGTCCACCATAGTCATAGCCTCCCTCTGCCTTCTCTTCAACCAGGCCGAGGCTATGGTGGAGTACTAAGGGCCCTGAAGCCTTCTCGGTGCGCCACAACCCCAACCGGGGCCTTCCAGATGCCCTGCCTAACAATGTGATGAAGATGACGTCCACCATAGCCAGGTAAGTACCTTGCTACTCTCCTCCTCTGTCCCCTTCTTCCTCCTCCTACTGGTGAAGCTGCACCATAGCCAGGGAAACATTATTGCAGGCTCTGATATCGTCCACACAGGCTCTAGACTCAGGAGGCTACTTGCACTGGTACCCGCCTAGACCTAGCCTACGGCTACTGGGCCTCTGAAAATACTAACTTTTTGTTTTCTTCTGCTTGGCCTCCGGTTCCCGATACAATCTCCGCTATTTGGGTGGTACCGGCCTACCTGCTACTTGAGTGTTTTTGCTCGCTGCCCTAAGTGTCACGGCCCTACTCCCCCTGTTTTCCCGGCTGCAACCCTCAAAGTCACGGCCACGGGTAAGTACCGGCCCCACGGGCCTCATAGCACACAAGTGCCCTGTCGGGCCACACACACACTCACGCAAACGTGCAATCAGACAGGCACAGGGACCAGCAAGAAAGCACTCGCACAGACTTAGAAACTCAGCAGAACGCAGGAATCTCAGCAAGGCATACATTCCAGCGGAAAAACTCAGAAATCAGCAATGTTCTCAGTCTGTGTTTTGGCAGGTCATTACATGAGGCAGGATTGAGTTTTGGCTTAGTAGGGTTGCGTCATCGTGCATGCACTTGTGAAGGTTTTGCATGTGATGTGACCTTTTTGTGTTTTGTTTGGGAGTATTGACCGAGTAGGGTGTGTTTGGCCTGTTGAAGTTTTGACTTCTAGTGGTTTTGTGTATCTGCAGGATATGGTGCATTTGTTGCAGCTGCAAACATCCGTATATTGTCAAACGTGGCAGTCGCACAATCAAATGGAGTTACGACAATCGACCTGGAAGCATCACCTCCTCGAGTTGATTTGACAGCAGCTGATGATGCTTGCGGCTCCGATGATTGCATCGTGTTGTCTGAAACTCCACAGAACATGGTAAGTCCTATGTCTTGTGCACCCATGTGGTTGTGGTGGTTTCATCTCCGTCCATCCTTTCTCTCCTTCCTATGTAAAATGAAATCGCTTTGGAGCCATCCGTTTGGAAAATTGAGGGATTCA